TGCTAAATCATGACGACTCCACTGAACAGCGCGAATGCGCCGGTCGGCTATCGCAGCGTATCTCCAGATTATAGATGTCGGGTTGTAGCTGCACAACCGATCGTACCACCTAGGGCGTCGATCTGTCAGATACGATATTGTAGGCGTTCCTGATACGATGTGCTAAAGCACGAGCTCCATCAGTACTTCATCTTCATGCAGGAGCATAGTCCAGGTTGAACTTACCGCGATCAATGGGGCAAGACACAAAGTGAATAAGGAGACCCACTCGGTAAAACTAACACATTGGCTGTTGTAGCGGATGGGCTCAACCTCGATGTTGAAATACGGCATTGGAGATAATGCGGCCGACACATTCGCGCAGGAGAAATTCGCTAGGGATGACTGAATCTATCCTTCAGGCCCCCGACGACCGGGAAATTACTTACGCACGTAAGCACGCACAGTGACACCTACCACCGCGTAATAACGGATGCATGTAAGCGTCGATTATGTGTACCATCCCTCGTGGGACCACTACATCGCTTTGTTCGACCTCAAACCATGAATTTATCTCGATATGGACACAAAAGTATATCCAGAGATGTGCCAAGAAGTTATCTAACATGAGTTCTGCGTCCGTAGCGAAGTACCATGTGTCGCCTCAACAGATAGCTACCAAGAGAGACAGTGGCAACGCTCATTCTTGATACCGTATACGTAGCTCAAACATCGGAAGAAGGTGTGCTCCATTGCAGCAGTTTGAGATTGCCGTGTTCCTCCGCCATCTTGTAGATGAGTGAATTACTAGAGATCGAGATGAGGCCAAAATGATGGAACAGTCTTGGTGGCTGTTTTGATGCTGGTTACGTGTTATGTGCGACTGAAACAGAGTACCGGCCTGTTTATATCGTTTTGATCGCAAGTCCAGATGGCTCATAGCAAATCCGACAGTGATGTCGTGATGGAAATTGAAGTATTAGTGTTGCTCTGGGACGAAGCCTCGATTGAGTCGGAGATAACGCTTAGTAATCCCGCACTGGCCCCCAAAGCTGAGATGGAAATCTGAGGTACTCTCGCCTGCCTCGCGCCTGAGCTTTGTACACGGATGCGACTCCCAACATGCGGACTCGCATTGTTGAGAAATCTGACAGCATTCTCTTCTCCCTGCATTGCTTTGCATCCGATCCTACTGAGTCTGTGGGGCGTATGGCCACGCCATAGCAGCCTTTTTTGCCTTTATTCAACGAGCTCAGCGAGCGCGCCCATACCGAATGCACGGTAAATTTCATTCCAAGATTTGTCAAAGCTTTCGATACGGATGTATACGCTCCGCTAGCATCAACTACCGTTACCGGCTCCACGTCCATCAGCCACCGGAGTGCACCCGGGCGTTGGCGCGGTGCGCTGAGTTCTCGAAACCTCTCAGAGTCTTCTCACATGCAATTTGAGTTTGCGTAAGTTTGTGGCGCCTCTCTACTACCGAGGCTTCAGCCTTGCCCGCAAGTAAGGCGCTGAACACCAATATATCGAACGATGGATTCGCCGAGATCGTGGGGAGACCCATCGTGGATACCCCGCATTTTGTCCACGCGGGGCGAAGTAGTTACCCCTTGAAAGGTAGCATCTCCGTCATCAGAATACAAGCCAACGGTTTATGGCTGGTTCCCGAGCGTGTTAACAACGATGGCGATTCAGTCGATACACCCACTCACAGACCGGGAGAATGCATCCGTTTGCGGTCCGGCAGTCAATGCCACTCTTGGCGTCGATATCCTACCTTGCACGTCCCTCCACTACACATCTCATAGTCGGTGCACTCAGGTCATTCGCGTTTTGTCGAAAGCGCAAACAGAGAACTTCCGAGGACGGCTTGTGTAAAGACTGATGTGGCGCAAAACCATAAACTCTGGATTACTACTCGTCCGCTAGATGCGCCGACACCTCATGACCAGCTGCCTAGACAATACGCGCCGGAAGCTATCCATCAACGATCCAAGCCTATTGTGGCTCTTTCCCCTGGCTGACGCTCTGAACTGCGAGTTCGGATAGGTCAGCGCACGATGTTCTTCATGCACCGTGTCACCTCACAAGGCTGTCAGACCCCACTTCCATCAAAATGAGAGCGATCTGCAACCCAAAATTCCGGGAGGATGCTATTGAAGCATGGGTGTATCTGCAGCCACGGCGGCCTTTGAACTTACGTTGAATCTTTCCAAATCGCTCTTCGTCCGGACGCAGGAGACCTTGACATTGTCCGAGGTTCGTTGTGAAGCGTAGTATCTGGCTTGTGATATCTTCTCCACCGGGCGAGTTAAGTATCGTGCGTTGCACAGCGATGGCAGAAGCAGTCACCAGAAACAAAAACTTCATTTGATTCGACAACCACGATCGAACGCATAACTACTCACTATGAAGCTAGCAACCCTTCTTTCGTTGCTTCCTTTGGCTCTAGCAGTCCCAGCACCACTGGAGAAACGAGCAAACCCTACCGTCGTTGCTCCCTCGCCTCAAGCCACGGTTGCTGGCATCAACGTATTGGGTGTTGAGTCCTTCAAAGGCATACCATACGCACAGCCCCCGATTGACCAGCTACGACTGAAACCACCTCAGCCCATAACTTCCTCTCTCGGAAAGGTCGACGGAACCGGCATTCCAAAAGCATGCCCACAGTTCTTCTTCAGCATAGATGAGAGGAATATCCCTACCAACGTCTTAGGCACTATCCTAAACCTACCACTTCTTCAGACCGTCACAAATGCTGGAGAAGACTGCCTTACTATCAACGTACAGCGTCCCGCTGGTACCAAAGCTGGCGACAAACTTCCGGTACTATTCTGGATCTTTGGTGGCGGTTTCGAACTTGGATCTACTGCAATGTACGATGGAACAAGCCTTGTCGCCGAATCAGTCGCTCAAGGCAAGCCCATCGTATTTGTGGCAGTCAACTATCGCGTGGGCGGATTTGGCTTCATGCCCGGGAAAGAGGTACTAGCCGATGGCTCCGCCAATCTAGGGCTGCTGGACCAGAGGTTGGGTTTGCAATGGGTTGCTGACAACATTGCCGCATTCGGTGGAGATCCTGAGAAGGTCACCATCTGGGGAGAGTCTGCCGGTGCTATCTCCGTGTTAGATCAGATGATGCTCTACGACGGCGACAACAACTACAATGGCAAGCCGCTGTTCAGAGCTGGCATCATGAACTCAGGTTCGATAGTTCCAGCTGATCCCGTTGACTGCCCCAAAGGTCAAGCTATTTACGACAGGGTATGTGCTCAATCCTACTCGTTGCTGCTAAGCACAATGCTAACTACTTGCAGGTCGTTGAAGCAGCTGGATGTGCCAGCTCTGCCGATACCTTGGCGTGTCTCCGCACAGTGCCGTACACCAAGTTCCTCAATGCCGCCAATACTGTCCCGGGTATCTTGGGCTACTTCACGGTCAATCTTTCCTATCTCCCTCGCCCTGATGGAAAGGCCCTCTCGGATTCTCCCGATGCCCTGGTCAAAGCTGGAAAGTACGCCAAAGTACCTTTCATCGTTGGTGACCAAGAAGACGAGGGTACTCTCTTTGGTCTCTTCACTTCGAATCTAACTACGACCAAAGAAGTAACGACCTATCTCTCAACCATCTTCTTCCAGAATGCTTCACCAGCGCAAGTCGAACAGCTAGTAGGCAGCTACCAAACTATCACCGAGGACGGCTCGCCCTTCCGCACCGGCCTACTCAACAACTTCTACCCGCAATTCAAGCGCGTCTCCGCTATCCTCGGCGACGTTACCTTCACGCTCACACGTCGCCTCTTCTTGGAAGTCACTGGTCAAGTCGCCCCCGATGTACCATCCTGGTCCTATCTCGCGACATACGATTTCGGTACGCCCATTCTAGGAACGTTCCATGGCTCTGACATCTTGCAAGTCTTCAATGGCATCTTGCCCAACAATGCCGCGAAGACCATTAGAGGCTACTACTACTCATTCGTCTACAACTTGGACCCTAATGAGGGTAACACTTTTATGGACTGGCCGAAGTGGAGTGAAGGCAAAAAGCTGATCAACTTTGGAGCGAATAAGAACAGCTACCTCGATGACGACTTTAGGGGTGATACACATGACTTCTTGGCGCAAAACGTAGCGAGTTTGAGGGTCTGATCTCGATGATCTACATAGCACCTGACCTGCATGAATCCTTCGAAGTTGGGCATAGCAGCAAAAAGAAAAATGAACAAAGTTTTACTCAATCACCCCTTTCGCTCTCATGACCCACCGCTGATGGTTTGTTGTGAGCTGCATGACTCAACTACGTTGCTGTCCCCATTGTTTTTTTCACAGGCCACAAACCGCGAAGTGCGTTTTCAGGCTCTTCGCCAATCTTTCCTTCGCGAATCTCGAACACCCTTTCGTTATGATATCAATTGTTGGCGGCCTAATCTTCTGTCACTGGGCGGCATCGAGCATGCGCATCGCGGAGCTTTCGCCCATGGAGCAGCGCGGACCCGCAAATGTTCGTCTTTACAGCTTCCCCCGTGGCTGCCCAATCATCGAGGATGCTGGCGTGCATCGCACTGAAGAATGACGATCGTGGTCGCATTGATGGGCGGAGATACCACGGATTTACTATGGAGATTACACGGGCGTTCTGTGGCCCGGCTCTCAGAGCCGTGCACACGCGTCACCTTCTCACATCACCGCGTTGAACGGAGCAGCCACGCGTACGAAGATGCCGAGTGGATTCTACTGACGGCGTAATGTAGTTTTCTTTGCACCCGCTTACCATACTCATTCCAAAGGTGTATGTGAATAGGAAGCTGGTCTCAAAGTTTCTGGGCTCATTGGCACACAAGCAACGCTTTGACGTACGTGTTGTATTCAGCAAGAACATAGAGCTAATAGATGTCGCAAACAAAAGCGAGCGTGACTGAGGATCAGGTACCGAGAAGGAAAAGACCGAACCAAACAATTCAGCGAAAGAAATACCGAGGAAAGCTGTTTAGCACCCCTCTACCGCATCGTTGGTGATAACTACCAGTCACACGTAACGACGGCATGACGATAGATGCCCATCATGGAATCTGAACAGCCCTCAGCTCCACTCTTATATCTCACCTCCTCCGCTTTACACTTGATCTCGCGGTCCTTGGGCAAAGCGGGTTCGCCTTGCTTTGTAGGTGGTGCATCCCAATCTTGGCACCAAAGAGATCCAGGATTGGTTCCATCGTTGAGATAGTCGCAACTACTGCTGTCGATGAGGTTGCCCAGCTCGTACGTACCAGCAGGCCAAGGTGGGTTATCGACATTGCCTTCTGCTGGTACAGTCTTCATGGCTTGCGTGTCAAGACGACATTCAGAGGACTCGCCGTAATCGCTATTGAAGAACAACCAGGTGTTCTCGTTCGAGATCTCATCGATGTAGTTTTGGAAAATGATGGAAAGCGCTTTGTTCTTGCGAGATGGTGTTGCCGAAGGCATAGGGCTCGATGAAGTTGGACTCGAGTCGGTCGGGCTTTCATCGTCATCGTCATCGTCATCGTCATCGTCATCGTCCCCATGGTCGGCCTTTGTCGCACCATTCCAGATCACCCGGATGTTGCTGTCAGAACCCCTCGCCCAGCTCGAATCGTCACTGGTAATATAATCACGAATAGCTTTGACGCGCTCCACACCAGTCTTGCTGTCGTCCCAAGGTTTGGTCGAGTAGGACAGGTATGTAGCAATGAGGCCCGCGACCTGAGGTGCAGCTATATTGAAATCGTAGGTCAATATCAAGTGCTTCTCAGCTGCATTCTTGTGAGAGATCGCTTACCTAACGAAGATCCACTTGGAACTGTCCGCTCCTTGTCCACCTTTGATTGGCAATCAACTCGATCACCCAGCGCATAGATACTGACAAGTGGACCGGCTTGCGAGAAGTCGGCTCGATTACCTTCATCGTCGCAACCGCCGACGATGATGAGAGGGATGTCATCATCCTGAAGAACCATTGGAATTTGGTCGACATCTTTTCGGTTCGGTTGCTTGGCTGCGTTGCCTGCGGCTGCGACAAAAGGTACCCCAAGTTTGGACAGTGTACGGAGATCATCTCCGTACAGTTCTTGCTTCTGTTTGTCGTTCTTAGCTGCCTCAGGTGTGATTCCGCCCAAGCCGATGGCAATTGATGTGGTCACCACGCTCCGCGAAGCACGGCCTGGGTGACTGTTGATGTCTCTCAGAATCAAATACATGATGTTTTCCCAGTCGCCAGATTTGGGGTACATTTTTGATGACACAAGATTCGCCTGCAGGATGTGACCAGGATGTTAGCGAGCCGTTCTAAATACACAGTAGATACCTAGATGGACATGGGAGACCATGAAAGAGAAGATCATGCCTAGGAAAGCTCGTCCGACAAAAGACAGGCACCAGAAGACTTGATAGGGTCGTAAAGCGTCAGCAACGTACCTCTTTTGCAAGCCCATACTTCTTGCCCACGGCTTTTGACGCGACATAAGTCCCGTGCGATGGCTTGTCAACATTGTCATCCGAATCTGGACTTTGGTGGTTTTCGATAGATGATCTGGATTGGAGTACGAGGTCGTTATCTGTCTTGAACTCTGACTCATCGTCACGCTGCGATGGCATTATTAACGATGTGAAAGACTTGGGCTCATTTACTCACATTCTTGACTTTGATCTGAACGCCCATGTCTATCAAATATACATATACATCCCTGCCAGGATTCTCGGGGTACACAAAATCGGTGGCCTGGCTGAGTGAACCCCCCCTAGATCGTACACTTTTAGTTGGCTAATGAGACATGTGGAGATATATCATACGTACGGATACAGACTATCCATAAGGAGAGCATCATCGGCGTTTTCCTGTTTCTTCCATGTCAAAGCTCTGGACACGAGCTTTTCTTCTCTTTCAATCGCTTCTGACTGCTTGTACACTGCATCAAGTGACTGCTCAGCCGGGAGAGCCCGTAGAGATACCACGGGAAGCTCTTCCATCATACCGGAAGTATCTTCGTGATTCTCTACTTCTTTCTTTGCCTCCTGTGTCAAGTTGAGACTTCCATATCCGAGGATCTTGTCGTCCGGCCCGATCTGATACATCCAGGAACCAGGCACCACCTTGCTCTTCAAGAAATCGTGGTAGTTCTTGATGTCGATATCTTTCTTTACCAGAGCTATGTACTCCTTGATGTCTCGGCGGGAAATAGAGTGTTCTTCGCGGGTTGGTGGAGAAGCATGGCTGGCACCCTCGCCTGCGTTACCATGAGCTGCAGTGCTATCGTGATGCGTCGGCTCATGTCGCGACAATTGGTCGCTAGTCAGTGCGGGAGCTGTGGCTATGCCGGTGTGTTGCTCGACAGGAGGGACGTCTTCCCTTTGCTCAAGCGCAGCATTGTTCTCAGCGTCTCTAGTTGTAGCGTCAGCTAGATACGTCGGGATAAATGCCTGCGCAACGCAGAGCAGGAGGGAGAGATAAAGAATGCGCATTTGTAATTATGCAAGAATTGGTTCGAAGAACTAAGCAAAAGATAGGATGTGAAGTCTGGTTTGTGTGTAGATAATGGGACAATTGGTGCAAGCAATGGAGATGTAGTTTAGCCATACTGAAGGTTGTCGTGTCTCTTTGTACCCACTTCAGATGTCTCTTCAGCCCCAGCGACTTGGGTTTTGGGTCCGAATTTGCGTAATGATGCAACCATCGCCCTCATGCTGTTGAGCGGCGTGAGTTCACCAGGGCCTACTGTCTTGAACCGAAACGCCTGTCGTGCAACTATTCACATATAGCATGCCATGGAGTTTACATCCGGTGTAATTCTCGACCATGCAAAGCTCCATTGGAGTGCGGGTAGGCCATTACGGAGACCATTAACTGTGCCAGTTCCGGGGCAGGCGCACATATCCATGGAGCCGTTTGATCGGCCTGTAAATGCTTCGATAGTCGGGGCGAAAAGTTGCGGCACTGCAACGCTTGACACAGCAGGCAGTAGTTCATAGAAGGGGCCGGATCTCGACACGAGGCCATGATGTCGTCGGCAAGGTGATGCAGCATGAGCGGTATGTGTGTGGTGGTACAGCGGCCCCAGCATTCTGATAAGTGACAAAGAGGCATAGCCAATGGAAGCACTATGAAACATGAGATGACCAGAGTTGGGACGCACGTCCACGTACTTGTTAGGGGGATTCGCCATGATGGTGCAGCATATGGGAAGGATGACGTCGGGCAATGATCTAGAGGCGACACGAGAGATGCTGCTTTGCGGCGGGTCGCTAACGAACTCAAAGTCGATTTGTGGTGATGAAGATGTTGGTAAGACGGCAGCGCGGGGCTAAGGTGACGAAGTTCGGCTGATGACGGATGACGTATGTTAGAGAGCTGTGCCACAAGATATTGCAGGTACGCGCTTTCGGCTGCTGATCAGTTGCTTCGATTAGATTAAACAGAACCGCGAGCGCAAGCGCCACCAGCATATGATAGTTGGCTAGATGCGATCATGACACAGTGTCGGCGTTTAAGTGGGGGCCAACCTCGCATCGAAGGATGGCGCAGGCGATGATGGATGGAAGCGAAACGGAGGTCAAGAATGCCGTCGCTGGTAGGCGCGGGCGTGCATCAAGAGGGTGGAATACTGGATGAATCTTGTGTGTATTATAAGTGCCAAAAAGCTAGAGTCGCATGGAAGGTGAGCCCGAGGACTCTAGGGTAACCACATGACAGAATGACACTACGCCTCATACACCAGAGTCATCCTGCAGGATACCAACAGACCCGCTATGAGCCTTCCAACTATCGCACTGGCTCTCCAATGCATCCTTGTCGGTTATCCCCGCGATCTTGTCATACTGCTCGACGAACTGCATAGCAAAGCCCTCAGATGTGTGCCAGCCCTGTATGCATGTTAGTCAAGTGATACAAGTGCAAATGAAGAGGGCTACGTACGATATGACAGTGCATTAGCCACGCGCCTGGGTTATCAGTCTCGAAAGCGATGACAAGGTAGCCCGATGCTGGCAGCATCGCGGTGTCGCGGCGCGGCGGGTTGTCGAGTTTGAGAGCAACGTCGTCGGTATACTCTCCCGTACCCTGAGCGATGACGAAGAAGTCATGGCCGTGCAAATGGATGGGATGAGGTACTCCAATGTTGGTGCTGATGACTACGTAGACGAATTCGTTCTCGCGCGGTAGGTGGAAGACAGCGTTGGAGGCCTCGAACGTCCGTTCTTTGCGCATAACTTGCATGAGCGTAGGGTCGTCCCAGTACACAACCATGGATGTGCTGTTGAGAGCCCATTTGAACACGTTCTCGTCGTTGCGGCCGACAGAGACAGGCTCATCGGCTGTGGACGATGTTGCCCCGACAGTCTTTGGGATGTGCGGCACAAGGTTTTCGGTCTCGTCGGAGCAGCTGTCTTCGTAGTCGTATGCGGAAGTGCTTGGCGTTCCAGCCGAGCCACCATAGTAGACTATACCGCGAATGTCGTCTTCGTTGTCGTTCTCGGAGCATGCGGACTGCGGAATCGCGCGCATCCAGAAGTTGTCGGCCACGTCTCCCTGATCGGCTGTTACAATGACGTCGTATCGTTGACCCATACCGATGCTGACAATGGTAGCTTCATAAGGTTCGATAGGTACAAGATCGGACGCAATGACAGTCATGGTGTGGTTGTCGATCATGAACTTCCAGTGGGTGTCGACAGCGGCATTGACGAGGCGGATACGATAAGAAGTTCCAGCTTCGAAGGAGACGTTGTAACGATGACCGCCGTCTCCAAAGGTGTTGGTACCGTTGATCAGACCATTGTCCAGAACTGGCGGGCCATCCGTCTCGGCAGAGAGGTAGAGTTCATCAACCGTTTGGTGGTCCCAGTCGTTAAGGAAGAGCATGCCCAGGTCCTCGTCGTAGTTCGCCGTCGCAGGTCCATTGATGACGATACCGCCAAAGACGCCTTGCCAAGCCTGAAGCGCAAAGTGCGAGTGATACCAAGTTGAACCGTGCTGAGTAGCCCTCCAGGTGTAAGTCATTGACTCGCCTGGTGCCGTTGGGCATTGTGTAATGGAGCTCACACCATCCTGATCGTTGGTGTTCTTCTGCCAAAGACCGTGAAAGTGTATGCTCGTGCCGTTCATGGATGTCGTAAGGGAATTGGTCACATGAACAACGACTGTGTCGCCCCAGTCTGCGATGAGCGTTGGTCCTGGTATGGAGCCATTGATGGCCATCGCCGTCCGAGACACGCCATCAGGCGCTACAACAACATCGGTAAGTTCGAGCCAGTACTCGCGGGTCACGCCAGTGTCTGGAATCTCGATGGACGCGTCGGTGTCGATGGAGTAATCACACCACTCCGAGCGTGTGGAAGCGGTGTTGCCATCGCATGCTCTTCTCGGCACTGGAAATGGTTTAGTCAACATTGCCTCTGCATGAGAATGAGGTGCAACTTACTCAAGTTCGTAACGAAAGGCGAAGAGGCCGCAAAGCCAGTCAAGGCTGCAAGACCGAAAGCGCCTCGTAACAACATGATGTAGATACCTAAAAGTATTTGGTACTCGAAAAAAGACGACGTGTAGAGACAACGAGCAACGATCGCGTAATGAGTGGAAGTGAGGTCTAAAGCGAATGACAAGATGCGAAAGACTCTAGAAAGAAGCTCCCAAAGAGTGATCTGAGCTCAGTCAAACGAACGTAAAGACAAGCTGATGGTTTTCCACAACACAACGCCTCCGTTCCCTTTATATCGCCCTTGCATTCTACCTTCATGGCCTGTCTTATCCGAGGAATCTATTAGGGGCACAACCTGTGCAGTCTCCAACGACTCAAGGACGTCATGATAAAATCGAAACTTTCGCTCGTACTCTTCTTTCGTTCTCCTCCGTAGATAGTCTCATTGTTTATCGTGGGTCAAGACTACCCTGATCCCTACTTCGAACTTCAGACGCCCCTTAGGGCATCACTTGGCGTAGGTACACCGGCTGCTCGGTGATCTGCTAGCGGTATTGTGCATCTAAAAACGGTCGTGGGGTTACTGAATAGTATGCGCAAAGTCTACCGGTGCATCAGGTGAGCCCCCACTCGATCGGTGCCATTCCGCCGCATCTGCCCATGGCATTATCGATTGTTGAGAAATCTTCGCGCATTGTCGGAGTTTGCTGACTCGGAATCGGAGGAAGGAAGCGCCGCGGAAGGGCCGTCCATGGTGACAGGTCGGCGCGCCGTTGTTGCTGGGTTGTGCCAGGTACTCAGTGGAGTGAGGTACATGAAGTCGAATAGACAAACTCTTCGTATATCCACTGAAAAACGGGTAGAATCTGCGTTTGAACGGTTCGATCGGTACCTAGAGAGATACGCGACAGTGGAGACGACAAGCATTCTCTAGCCTGAGCTTGGCAGTGCCAAAAATAAGCCCCGCTCCGACTCGCACTACGTATCGCATCTGTGCTTTGAGTGGCTGAGGTTACGCGACGCCTGAGCATTGAAACAAATGAAGTCAGGCAGCATGCAACCCTCGATAGCGCAGTTCGCACTGTACGAGGGCGGGTCTTCGTAGCCCTGGAGCCCTTCGGAGGCCTCCCAATGTAGTATACCAAGAGATATGGTTTTCACTCGAGGCGTCATGAGTATACGTGGAGACGTCGTAGCGCATCTGAGTCGCTCAGGGGACTGTAGAGGTAGAAACTGACTCAGCCGATGTATCGAGTGTAATAAGGACATTGGGACTGCTGATTGTTAGCTGTTGCCACCACTCTTCACACTCTTGCTGCATTTCTGACGCTCTTTAAAGTATTCTTCAACGTACACTCCTTCATCATGCATATCGCCATGCGCAGCGCACTGCTGGCTCTGCTCCCGCTCGCGGTGTTGGGTGCCCGCAAGCGTGATGTCGCTTCTACGCCCTTCCAGCTGTATGCATACAGTGAAGACATTGGTGGCTTGCCACTCTTCTATGCCGATGGTCTTGCATACCTCGGAGAGCCTGCTCTTTCCAACAGTACCGATGCTGCTGTCGTAACCTGTAAGTTCGGCTTCTTTGAGCCATCGCGTACCCAAGTTCATCCCAACTAACAGACATAGTCACAATCGATGCCAACAAACACTTCATTGGAAACCCCAACGCTACCACCGCTACCGGTGAGCCCACCTGGTCAAACACAGCTCTCTTCATTCCTTCGTCATCATCGGTCGACAGGCGCGTGGGCTTTCTCCCACCCAACAACGGCACTGGCAACACCACGACACAAACATCGGGTTTCGCTTTCTACGGTTCCACGGTGATGTTGTATGGTGAAGATGGTACGGTTGCCACGTCATTCTACGGCATGAAGGCTGAAAACGGCCTGTATGAGTTGCATTGGAATGACACGGAAGGCAAGGTGCCTTTGACACTTCGGAGCATGGCGCCTAGCAGTGAAGCGTCGAAGCGACGCTGAAGAGATGTTGTTGCGACCTGGAAGGCTCCCGCAGAGTTGTCGTTCCAAGAGGCGTTAGGCAGGGAAGCTATGGGTAGTAGTAATTCTTTATCAGCGGACTACAAATGTGATCGGTCATACACCAGTCTGCAACTCAAGGGCTGATACTTTACATCGTCATTCTGCTTCGTTCCACTCGCAAGTTGCCAACAACCAAGTTCTCATCAAGTTCTGCTAGCGGCTTAATGCTCACAGAAGCTGTAAGTCGCCCCCTGCAATTCTTCCTCTGCTGTCCGAACAAATGCGCCCCTTTCCTGCATAAGCTTTTTGCGGTGCTCGCTTGCCTCTTGGAAACCCATAGGAAGGGAGTATTTGGCTTCATCGAAATACTCGCGCACGTAGTCCATGAGCTCTTCGGGCAGTCGACCTTCAGAAGTGGCAGAAAGACTTGCAAGTCCCTTCTCGGCTAGCAGGTTGATAAGGTCGGGAGGAAGTTTCGACAGCGCTTCTTGACGCGACTTAGTGTTTGATCCAAGGAGCGCGTCGACGTACCAGTCCATCTGTTGAGGCGGAACATTCGCCGTGGAGATGATGCGCTTTGTAGGATCGACAAGCCAAAGTGCAATGAAGCGACGATGCCCGGGCTTTGTAGGGTCGATAAGACTAAAGGGAGAAACACGATGTTGACTGACACAGGTTAGCCAAAAGGTCGTGTGCAAACAGAACTTTGACCAACTCACAAGATATTGGGGAAGGCAAGGAGCCGGCCTTCGCGTGTTTGTACGCTTCCGTAGTTCTGCAGACATGGCGATCCATTCCCAACTCCAAAATTGGCGCCATATACTTGCTCCATCCAGTTATAGGCGCATTGTCCAACATTGTAGGGTTCGTCATCCTGCAGGTAAGCGGACGTCTGCATGCGAAACGAGAGGCTGTTGTCAGTGATGTTCTCGCTGTCCAGGTAATACAGGGCAGTTGCGCAGATGCTTTCGTTCATTTGTCCCTCAATGTGCCACCCGCCCAGAGGGAAGTCCGGCTTCTCGGGCGTAAGTTCAATCGAGGCCATCTTGACAATGATCTGAAGTCCCGAAGCGCGGAACTTATCAGCAAGACGCTTGCCTGGTTGCGGCGCGTAGGATACGTCATCAGCGCGAATTGGCATCATGCGAGGTTTGCGAACGATCCTCCACTTGGCCTCCAGCAACCTTTCTTGGCGATCCTCATCGTTGTCGTAGTCATCGTAGTACCCTTCTTCCTCCAGATCTTCTTCGCTGGCTTCTACATCAGCACACTCTTCCTTATTGGGCGTCCAATTTTCTTCGTTCTCGTCACTACGCAACGAAACGTTAGCAGCGGCAAAGTTCTAAGACATTGCTTTGACTTACTCAGCATTCCCAGGTTTACCGCTGCGAGTCTCCATACGGCCGGCCCCTTCGTACTCATAGTAGCCGACTGCAAACCTCAAACACTGATCCCACATGGGTATGGATGTCTCGACTAGTTTTTCGATAGTGCGGTATATGTCGGGATATCTTGTAGGGTGAAGATTGTTGATGTAGCTCGTAAATTTTACAGACCCATCCTCTTGGAAGGCCAAGTTGGCTGGCAGCCATTGGTACTGATTGGACCAGTATTCCGGTGGGATGTCACTGCCTCCAAGGCCGTAATAGTGCTGGTTCTGCGCTGTAGTCTCTTCGAGCCCCTGCTGGGGGATGACCTCGCCTTTACCGGACCAGCGCTCCACGGCGTCCGCCACACCGACCTGCTCCTGACGGAATCCGGTACTGCGCCCATATACCAATGGGTACATAGATGGATGTACCAGATCCTGCACCATATTGTTCGAGTTGGGGTGCCAATCAGGAGATGCAGCGTGGTCCGACTGAAGCTTGTCAAAGGCCTTGCGAAGATTGGTGTGTAGCTCGCTAGTAACGAGCGTATCAGACTTGGCTACGGAAGCACATGCGTCGAGAGAAGGTATGATGCCCGATTCTTCGAAATACTTGGCTTTGCTACGAAGCTCTTGAACACACTGCGGGGTTTTAGTAATGGAGCCGATTTGGAAGCAAGAATAACTTACCGTGTCGAATGTAGCTTCGTCCAAGATGTTCTCAAGTGGACAAGAACCCCGGCCGTTGTGAAGCTCGAGCCGGTCCTCGTCGTCGGTCCAATACTGTCTCATCCCAGCGGTAGCAAGGTGCCAAAAATGTCCATCAGGAATGGCGAGGGCCTCTTTACGCCACTTGGCAACGACTTCTTCATCAAAGACCTTCTTATGCCAGTCGGGCTTGTCAGTGAGCTTTTCCAAGACATCCATCACGGCAAGCTCTCGCACAGGGATGATATCTGACTCGCTGCCATGGGCATTGGGGTGGGACCCGATCGGATAAAAGTCGTAGTCGGTCTGTTCCCAATGGCGAAAGGGTAGTCCTAGTCCAGGATATTCGTTCATGGCTTTGCCAGAAGTCTCAATCATTGTTGTCTTTGAGCGGGTGGAGAATTGTGATGCGATGAACTCCGTGTTGATTGCGCGCCGAAATGTCGCAAGAGATCTCGTTGCTTTATACAAATGAAGATTGATGACCATATCGCATGATCGCCAAGTTTTTGATGCACTAGCGCAGGCAACTTCGTGCTGCCTGAGCTGTTGGAGCGAAATAGAGCGAGATGGGGTCTTTGGCGTGTTGGAGGCCTAGCCTTTACCCGTCGAGGATGCGCCGCGGACACGAATGGAACTATAGGAGAGGGGATCCGCGTCTCGTGCCATCGATGCATTGAGACGATGATGTTCGCTTGAAAAGCATGGCATCAGTGCAGACATGTCGTCTAGCTCTGGGCGTAGGGTGAAATGTGAAGCTGATGTCTGCGCATCAATCGTGGGGAGTTCGCAGCACTGTCGCGTCACGCGTTCCGAGATCTGTGCGTTATCGGCCCCAGCGTGTGCGCTAGATGTCTTGGCACCGCCGCAAAATGCTGTTGCCGCACGGCGTGAAGCATACCTACATTTGGCAGCATCGGTCTCCTACGAGTCTTCATACCCATGATCTTAGAAACATCGAATCGTGCTTGAACATACCTGGTTAGACCTCGACACACTACTGCGCCGAAAAGAATGGATTATGCATACAATAAAAGCTACCTAGTTTGTATAAATGTGTGCACCGTTGTAATTATCTCTATAGAGGGCGCCACCACTACGACCAAGTACATCGGCATGGTATGCATCGAAGACTAGCTTACTTAATCGTGCTTAGTGTACACCTTCACATACTTCACATGCTCAATACCCTCAGCATCCTCATAGCGTTCACTGACGATTTTGTACCCTCCAAGCTTCGGCCAAATCTTTGTCCAGCAAAGCCAGTAGAATCCACCCAGAAGCAGAACGCTGACACCAACAACGGGGAATACGTAGTATGGGTACCCGTCTGCGTTCCAGTCGCCATCCGGAGGAATGAATGGGACTAGCGCGAGGAAAATGTTTGCGGCCAGGTAAAGAACGGCAATAGGAAGATATGTGTGCCATGGAGACTCCCAGCGTTCGCACTTTGAGTAGTGTAGGTAGATAAGACCGGCGGTGACGAAGCCGTTGATCCATGCGCCGGGGTAGGTGTACAGATCAGTGATGAAGTTGTATGCAGGACCAGCCGGGGGTGCAAGCAGTACGATGACTGTAATCAGCCAATGCAGGAACAGGGCTGTAGCCGGCGAGTTGAATGGCTTGTTCGATGCCCAGAATCTACTCCATGGAAGTAACCCCTCTTTTGCGAACTCCTGGTTGAGGCGTGAATGGGCAAAACTGACGGCGAGTACGTTGCCTAGATTGCTGAGGGCAACAAAAGCGGGAAGACTGCGCGCTCCAGCACTATTACCGAAAACGTTGCGGAAGAACAGGCCAGCCACAATCACCTCGCTCTTCGCAAGATCGGACTTGGGGATGGCAGCGAAGTAAGCCACGTTCGCGAGGACGTATAAGATGGTAGTTCCGCCGATTGCCAGGGGTGCAGACCAAGCCAGGGTTTTCTTCGGGTTCCGAATCTCGCCCAACACATAGTTGGCATTCTCCCAGCCTTTGTAGGAGTAAATGATGCGCAGCAGAGCTTGGCAGTACGCATAGGCGCCGCCGCCACCATAGCCATCACCGACTTCCAGCGCGAACGCGTTGTCAAAGTTGTGCGGCTGTTCAATCTTTAGATGACCAGCCAAAGCAGCAAAACCCGAGAAGACGATGAAGAGTAGAATGAAAACCTTGAACACTCCGAGGACGCTGAAGAGGCGGATGCCCCATTTCGGTAACGTGGCATGGAGCACAACCGAGAAAGTGACACAAGCAACGGCTATGCCACGCGCCGCCCAGCCATCGGGTGCTTCCGAACCAGCTGCGAACAGTACGTAGCGACCGAAAGCGAGCGAGTTACCGGAAGAGAATCCGAGCAACAACATCTGCGCAGCAAGAACGCATGTCGCAACGTATTTGGGGTGACGGTAAACGCGCTCCAGATAGTTCTTTTCGCCACCTGAACGTGGAATTGCGAGACCGAATTCCAGAAACACGGAGAGCCCACAGAATGTGAGGATGCCGCCAATGATCCACAGGAAGAGTGACACCCCGACCGATCCCGTTGCTGCGAAAATACCGGAAGGAGTCGAGAAGACTGTCACAAGTAAGCAGCCATCCGAGCGTATGAGCATGAAGAATACGTACTACCAGTGCCGATCATCTTATTCAGGATGACAAAGACTGTGGCCGTGTAGCCCAGCTTCTGGGAATCGTCGTAAACATAGGCGTTGTCTTCCTGCACGCTGCCATCTTCGTAGACCGGTGGGGAAGGCGAGGTTTCATCGTTGGTGTAACGCGCGACCTTTGCGTCGTCGTCAGCGATCGCGGCCATACTTGGGCTTTGCTAGGAGCACCAGGAGTACCGATCGCTCGCGTCAAGTTGGTGATCAGAATACAGCCGAAGCGGTCGCTACGAATGGTTTGCGCAGAAGATAGACGGTTACGCGGTGGCCGGGATCTTGTAGGGTCATATAGCCGTCTGCAATGGCGCGATAACATGGTTGTAGCATGCCACGCGAATTAAATTGCGAATGCACTCCTTCCATGTCGCGATCAGCAAGCGCTGCAACATTGCGAGGCTTGAGTTGCTTGTGGTGTCCAAAGCTGGTGGCTCCCAAGAACCCTGAACAGGAAGGTGAAGCATGTCGCTGGTTGGAATGTCTTGGAACATCCTCTCAACGATGCGCAGAAAAGGCAAGGGCGATGTCGTGATCGCTGGGCATTATTAGCCTACCACAAAAGTACTTGGCGCATACTGAATGCCTTGTAATGCACTTCAAGGCGCCTCATGTCCGTCTTATGAAGATTTGGGAGTCTTGTAGAGTAAGGAACCGTTGTCATGAGTGTTCGCGGCGCGAAAGGGACAGTCCCGAGGTCTCTAGGGAGCGGTGTCGCTCGAATGACGAAATTGGTTCACATGGTTAAATGCGCGCGCCGCGGCGACGGCTTCAGGTAGTTAACTGATGAGAGTGAACAGAGCTTGACGTGGAGTTGAGGGTTGAAAGCAGCTGGGATGTCTCCGCGTGTCTGGTGCCAAACCTCGGAACTCCCGGCGACGTAATTTCCGGGTTGGCGCCGGCAATAGAGGGGGCTCACGAGCTTACACTTCTTCAACACCACAGACGGCTGGCTCCTTCTACAACCTTAGCTCAAATCCCATATATGCCGTAATGCACCAGAGGCCTCGATACTGAAAAACTTCAGATGGACGTCTTCGTCGCAACTACCTAGGTACAACGGTGGCTGAACTCCTGCCAGCGATGTGCTAGCTGGAACAGAATCATCATCGCATCACTTTGAAGCGCTTGCGAGGCAGCTCAGCTTCGACATTCATGCAGGTACTAATCTCTGCTATCCTAGATATCATCGCAGTTTCATTGCAGGCCGTCTTTAGCTCACGATCTTACGCGTCATTGCGTCACATAAATAAGCCTCAGTAAGCTCTGTGTCGAAGCTTGACCAACGCCACGGAAGCCTCACGGACAGCACGGAACATGCCTACATAACGGCGTTTGACCATGGCTCGTTGCTCGTTCTCCGCGTCGGTTTGTCGGCTCTTCTGGCGATGTGAGATCATCTCCGAGGCTTGTTAGTGATCGGCTTAATTGGTGGATAATTTCCTCCATGTTCCCCACGTTCTCCGGATCTCTCTGGGTGGATACTCCCCGCGCTCGAAACACCTGGTAATCATGCTGATTGGAGGCATTGAACGGATAATTGATACTAGAATTGCACTTGCGGCTGATGATGGTGCTCAGGGCACAACGGCAACCGGGGATTGCGGATGTCTTGAGCCACATGGGAACCCAACCCCAGGAGTGCGGATACGATGAGTTGATATAAAGTGCAGGCCAAGCCTCAGTCCGCCAAAACGGCGCGCATCCTTTTTCGGGCCGTGCGGAAACTTCAGCCTCTCACCATGCGTTGGACTACACTACTTCTTGGCCTGTTCGAGGCCTGCGCTGCTGTATCGACTGTCAATCGCAAAGCGTGCCAGTATCCGACAAAGAAGCCATTGGACGGTTGCCCTCAGAACACGATCCTGGTTGGTCCTGGCCGCAACTTCTCTACAATCCAGTCTGCAGTACTTAGCTTGCCAAACGATACAACGCCCCATCATATCCTGATCCTTCCTGGCAACTATACTGAGCAAGTCAACGTCACGCGGCCAGGTCCCGTTTACCTTTTTGGTCAAACGAAAGCGCCCAACGACCAAAGCAAGAACACTGTCAACGTAATATGGCGCAATGCAACTGGAGCTGGGCTATCAACATTGGACAACGCCTATACTTCAGTTCTTACCGTTGCGCCGACCTTCAACGCGAGTAAGACTGGATCCGGGCCAACTGGTGATCCCGTACCTGCGGGTACCCCATTTGGAAACACCGATTTCCGCGCATACAACATAGACTTCAGCAACTTGTATGCGCCCTACTCCGCCGGTCCAGCCCTGGCAGTCTCAGTGAGCTACGCAAACACCGGCTTCTACTACTGCGGCTTCTACTCGTACCAGGACACCGTGTATGTCGGCAAATTAGGCAACGCATACTTCTACAAGAACGAAATAGCCGGACAAACAGATTTCTTCTACGGTTTCGGCACGGCATGGATCCAGTCCAGTCTTGTCTCCCTTCGTAACTGTGGCGGCGGCATCACAGCATGGAAAGGCACCAACACAACCTTTGTCAACAAATACGGCGTCTACATCCACGACTCCGACGTCAAGAAAGCCAATTCTTCCCTCTCCATCACCGGTCAGTGCGCACTGGGCCGCCCTTGGAACGCTCAGCATCGTTCCATCTTCGCAAACTGCTACCTTGATGATTCGATTCAGCCCAACGGGTACATCAAGTGGGGCACTACGGATCCAAGGGTGAACTTCAATACCACCATGGCGGAGTACAAGGACTATGGGC